ATCCTTTGGTCTACACTTGTGTTTCACCACTCTATCACACTGAGTGGAGTGAGTGCGGTTGGTTCAATAGTTAACCTTTACTCCCTCCGTCCCACTGTCTTTGTCCACTTACCTTTTGGCACACCATCCAATGCACTTCTTTAATCCATTTTATCTTGTAATTTGTATATTAAAAAATTATAAAAATTATATATTAATAATCTATATGTTAAGACGAATCAAACAAGATCACACATGACTATTTTTAGGCTTACACATTGAGAGAATTTGATGAGTCAAAGTGCTTAGATGAACAGTTCCAAAAGTCAAAAGTGGACAAAGACAGTGGGACGGAGGTGGTATTGCATAAAACTTTTTTACTTCACGTAAAAAAAATAATCTGACCAATCAGTGGACCACAATTGTGGAACTAAGATCAGTATGTGGTTCTTGAAACTAAAATACAAAATACGTTGAAGTTTGAAGTAATTACCTATCGGTTTCAATGGGGATTGTTTCCAAACAGCCAATCGTCTGGCTGTTTCAATAGTTTTCCCCTTTTATTCTGCTGAAATTCCTGGAAATAAGTTGTGGAAAATGTAGTACAACAACCCAGTTGAATCGCACTAGTGTAGGGTCTCAAGAGGGTATGTGTATGCAGACCTTACCCGTACCCGACCGTAGAGAGGCTGTTTCCAAGAGGACCCCAGGCTCAAGTAACACAAATAGCACAAACTCACAGAAGACTCATGCAATAGAACACAAGCACAAAAAGTCAAGACAACTAATATTAATGAGAGAAAGACATAGCATGTAGAAAGCACAAAGCAAAAAGTGAGAAAACTACCACCCTATTCAAGATATCTACCCAACTACCTTAATCCTAGCACTCCAAAAGTTCCTATCTAAGGTCACATCCTCGGTAAGGGTCAGAAGTCTTAGGTCCTGTCTAATGACCTCATTCCAATTCCTCCTAGGTCTCCCCCTACCCCTATCCTCACCCACCACTGTGAGCCTCTCACACCTTTGCACTAGTGTCTCAACACTTCACCGTCTCACATGTCCAAATCACCCCAACCTAGCTTCCTGCAACTTATCCTCAACAGGTGCCACTCCCACCTATCCTCGAACAACCTTGTTCCAAATTCTATCTAACCTTGTCTTTCCACACATCCACACATCCACTGCCGCATCTGCATATCAGCTGCATGCAACCGAAGAACGTGGGTTTTCTTAAGTGTCCAGCACTCCGCACCATACAACATGGTACTTACCTTTCTTTGTAGCCAAAATCTTCTAAATCTTCTAATCGCACATAACCCTTGAAGCCAACCTCCATTTTGCCCAAGCCGCTCCAACACAATTTGCAACATCTTCGTCTAACTCTCCATCCTCCTAAATGACTGATATAAGATACCGAAACTTGTCTAACCTTGGGCATGGGTTGGGAATCAATCCTATCGTCCACCTCTGAATTCATCATCCGGCCACTAAAACAACATTTTATGTATTCAATCTTGGTCCTACTCAGTCGAAAGCCTTTAGATTCCAGAGCAATGTGCCAACTCTCCAGCTTGACATTTAGTCCCTCGCATGTGTCATTGATCAACACAATTATTGTCAAGAAATAACATGCACCAAGGAAACTCCCCTTGAACTCCTTGCGACGTGATGTCCATCACTTGAGCAAACAAAAGGGGCAAATGGTTGGGCAGCTCAACTAGTCTCAAAGGTGGAATTTGGAACAAGAGACCAAAGATCGAGTCTCACCATTGGCACTAGGGGGCTCCTTGTGTTCAGTGAGCACTGGTCCGAGCCTCTGTTGCTAGTTGAGTCATCATGATTTACATCCTCTCACAATCTCGTCGGGCAGGTGGTGAGGGGCGCTCAGGGGCGCCCGGATAGGATTTACCCTAGTCCTTGCCTCCTCGTACATATCCTTGACTGCAAATATGTATGCGATAGGAACACCTCTCGACTCAAGACACCTCCACAAGACCTCCCTCAGTACCCTGACTTACGCCATCTCGAGGTCAATAAACACCATATGATGATCCTTCTTCTTAGCTATGTACTCTTCCATCAACCTTCGTAGGAGCCAGGAGGTGAATAGGGTCAATGTGTCAGGCATGAACCCAAACTGGTTCTCGGAAATGCACAACCCCTTCCGCAGCCTATACTCCAAGATACGCTCCCAGAACTTCATGGTGTGGCTAAGGAGTTTGATGCCTCTATAATTCTCGCAACTCTGAATATTACCCTTACCCTTGAATAGCAGGACCAACACACTCTCCCTCCACTCTTCAGGCAATCTAGCCATCTTAAAAATAACATTAAAAAACTTGGTTATCCAAACCCACCCTCCGCTGCCCACATAATGTAGTCTATTGAAAAATGTTGGCTACAAGGAAAATGCTTTTTTTGGAAATTAAATTCCTCTAGGAATAATATGGAGTATAACATAGTATACTGCTTAACTTACAAAAAACAGAGCATACAAAACTGATTCACAAAAAAATAGCGCGAAAACAGAAGATGTACAACCGAATCAGAAACAAAAACAGGAAAAGATTTAGTTTTCTAGAATGCTGGAAGACCCAAGGATTTTCCAGCGGCAAACATAGGAAAGTCCCAAAAACACTTCCTTGAAAAATAGAACTGAACAGAGCTAAAGTATTAACCTAAGAACCCAAAGTATTACTCCCTCAGTCCCATAATTATCTTCCTACTTTCCTAGAGTTGTCCCAAAAAACATTTCCCCTTTTTTTGAGGAAAAGATTATGTAGTTCATATTATGTCTCTTATCTCTAAACTAACTACAACCATACAAGTTCTACTTTATTAAAAATCGTGCTAATCTCATACGTGAAAATAATTAAGAGATTGAGGGAGTAATATATTCTTACATGCAATGTGAATGTGGTTTGCAATGCAGGGAAGATGACAAGCCATGGATCTTACCTATTCTTCTGCTGGTAACCAAATTAGTTCAAGCTCGGTTCGTGAACTGGCACATAGCAAACCTAGAGGTCCAAGATTATTCGGTTTTCAGTCCGAATCCCGATACTTTTTGGGCATACGAAGCTGTTTCTTGACCTTGTTTGATCAGAGGAAAACCAAACAACAGTTTGATAAGCCAACAGACACAGTCAGCTCCATTGCCCATCCATGTACATGTGTTTGAAATTTGTACAAAGGTTTGGATATTTTATCTGTAGTGTGCAGGTTTTTCCCTCATATTTTGGGGTATGACTGTATGAGTAGAAGAAGAGGAGGGTACCAGTGAGATATTTTATTCTTCGTTGAGTAGAATCAGTAGATATGCTGTATAGATTTTTTGTGGAATAATATATTGATGTCATAAAAGAGGTCGGAATTTTTTTTTCTTTCTTTCTTCCTCCTCATTTATAGCCAAATTCCGTAGTTTAGATCTAGAAAATTTAATAAAAATTTCGTAAAAAAGATATTCATTTCATTCTTAATTATTTTTCCCCATTTTTTATATATCTAAGGAGTACATTTTTGTACAAACTTTTAACTATGGGGTAATTTTTCTATATCTAAGGATCTCATGAAAAAATATTAGAGTATAAAAATATAATATTTCAAAATAAAGATTCTAAAATATGATTTTAATTTAAATTTATAGCTAAGTATATTTATATCTCTAAAATTCAATCAAATTTGAAAATAATGACCATTTCTTTTTTTTTTTTTTTTGCACTTTGTTTTCTATATCTAAGGATTACATCTTTGTACAAACTTTGAACTAATATTTCTATATTTAAGGATCTAATGAATAAATATTAGAGTATAAAGTAGAATATGAGTTCAATTTAAATCTATAGCTAAGTATATTTTTTTGTGTGAAGTTCAATCAAAGTTTGAAAATAGTGACCAAAAAATTAAATTTAAACTCGAAATACAACATAATTATTTCAAATGAAATGCTGAAACCTCAAATTAAAATATTCTTGTTTAGTTGGGCTCTTCTTATGTATGTTCCGAATTCGGTCCCAACCTTCTTGAACGAATTTCTTAATTTTTCCAATTTAATCTAAAAACCTTATTTTTTTCATTTCAAATATTATCTTGTTTCAAAATCAAATATAAATTTTTTTACAAGTGCCAGAGACAAAACTCCACCTTGTATTAATTACCGTCCTAAGTAACTATTTAACCAATAATCTTTCTTGCAGCATACAAAACAAAATGCTGGCAATATTCACAATAGTGAGGAAAAAAATTCCTCACCTGATGTCACCTCTCTACACTTTTCCTCTTCCGCCACTTTTTTTTGGAAGTTTTATTTCTTTGCGTGAAAATGAAAAAAAGCTCACATGCTAAGAAAATTAAGCATGGAAAAAAGAAGCACACCATTGGAGTCGAAAAACAAAAAGTACACGTGAAGGAAAGAAAGACATTGTTTGAGAAAAACATTTTCAGTTAGCATTTAGATCAAAAAAATTAATACTCCGAAGTACGGAGACTTTTAATTTTTAAAACGCTAAACAATATATTACCGTAAGATAACCTTTTTCAAATGTCAACTCTAAACTATAATGCCGTTTGGAGCCCAACACAAAAAAAAAAGGCATGGGACTTGTAAAATATTTGCACAATCAAGCATTCATTCATTCATGCGTCTTTGATCATACAGTATTATACATACATACATGCATGCCCATATTAAGAACATGAGCAAATACGTACCCACATTTCCTTTTACAAATTACAACGCCACATTCATATGGATTCCAAATTTGCTTCTGTTTTTAAACGTTTCACTTCCTTACCATAGATTTTCCCCTGCTGCAGGTTGGTCAATACTCGACTTGTTTTTCTGTTACAGTATAACTTTTATAATGTGTGTGTGTGTATAAATATGCACAACCTCTCTCTATATATAAATATATATATATATATATATATATATATATATAGATGAAATACATATCATAATCTTGAGTGTTTCCTCCACGGGCAACCGCCTTCGAATGCGTGTTCCAACACGTCTTCCATCCTCTTAGCGACTAGTATCTGTTACAGTTACGTGTTATTAATACATTATGGTGGCATTAAAACATTCTCTACAGGGGAAATAATATGTAGTCCCTTCATGCCAGAGACCTTGTGGTCCAGCGACATACTATAGGTCATAGGTTTGAATCCTAGTGGGCATTGACTCTTTGTGCTTCAATAAGTCATAGAAGTAGTTTAGAGAGATACTGTATTGTATAGAATTAATAGTAGTAATAAAAATTGTACTCCCTTCGTCTAAAAAATGTTGTAGACATGCAAACACACACCCACAAGCACTATGTATGTGTGTGTGTGTTATGTTTCATAAACAAAATATGGTATTTAATTAATGAAGTAGCAGTTAGTCAATCAATGCAACTTTCAACGAGGGAAACAGCCTCTCTACTTTCGAGTAGGGGTAAGGTTTGCGTACACACACCCTCCCCTTGTGGGATTCAACTTGGTTGTTGTTGTTGTATGGTATTTTGTTTACTTCGAGCATATCTTTCTTTTCAAAATTTGCATTGGCTTCAAGGGAAGCTACAAGCTAGCTTCTTTTGTTAAAAACGGGACTTTTATTTGGACAACAAAATGGTGTTCATTGTNGTGAGATGTATTTTCTTACCTCCAAGCTGGAAAGTGCATTTGCTGGGACTTCGGCCAAATCTTTCAGGTTCCTCTCTGGTAGGATCACTCTTTTGATGCCATAACGATGGGCAGCCAAAACCTGTGGGGTGAGTTGTGATAAAAAGAACAAATTACTAAACTGGTTAATGCTGGATCAAGGTTCAATGGTCCAATGGTGGTCCAGCCAGTGATATTCGGAAGCATATACGGAGTACAATAATTTTATTTTATTTATTTTGTGATATAAATTATTACATATGAAAAAAATGAAAAATAGAGCATAACTAACAAGAAACAAACATAATAAATTGTACATAAAATACAAATATAAAGTTATAGAATATACAAAACATTAAGCTAGAATTAATTTAATTTCACAATTTAGCCTTGGCTAAAAGTATACTTTTCCATTTCAAAATATGAAAATACAAGAAAAAAGACTGGTTCAACTGGGAAACGCAGACCTTACCCCTACTAACAGTAGAGAGGTTTCCAAGAGAGACTCAGCTTAAGCAACAAATGCCAGAAAAGATGTATAATAAAAATCAGTTGGATTCAAACCTTGTCCTTGATACCACCAACAGGCAACACTAATCCCCTTAGGGTCATCTCTCCAGTCATTGCTGTATCCGATCTTACTTTCCTTTGACTGAACAATGATACAAGTGAGGTAACCAGAGTTACCCCAGCGGAAGGTCCGTCCTTGGGTACAGCCCCAGCAGGAAAATGAATATGAATATCACGGCCTTCTACAATACTTCTCTCTTCAGAAGTAGACAGCATTAGTTCAGTTGCTCTAGAGCGTACCTATGAACAATATATATTTTTGGAACATATTAAAAAAGATAAAGGGAGTAAGCGCTTCATTCCAAAACAGAATTTGGCTTTAAAAGTTAGTTTTCCCAAAGATATAGTCATATTTCCTTAAATGATGCTAACATTCATCTAGATGCCAAAAACATTGTAGGCAAGTCAAATGTGACAAATTCAGATACAACTTGTCCACAAAGTCCCACAAGTGGGTTCTAGTGGGTGAGTGTAGGCCGACATTACCCCTGCATATAAAAAGTAAAGAGGTTGTTTTTGAAAGATCACCAACTTAAGAGCAGAAAACATGGACCAGGGTAGTCCAACAACAAAAGGATAAATAACTACCAGAGAGTATGAAAATACCAAAACAAAAAGGTCACACAGCAAACACCCTACTAGACTTTAAGCTAACTTTAAGAGCCTTAAACACACACAGGACCAGTTCTAACTAAGCCTACTGTACAACTCTAATCCTCGACCTGCAAAGGCTTCTGTCTGTGGTCATGTACTCGATGAGTTGCAAAAGCAGCAAGTCCTATTCAATCATTTCACCCCAACTTTTCTTCCGTCTACCTCTTCTTCACCCCCTTACCCCCACCGACGAAGCACCTCCTAACATGAGCATCTTTGCTCCTCGTCAGCACACGCTCAACCGACCTCAATCTTGCTTCACACATCCTATCCTCCACAGAGCCACTCACACCTTATCTCGTATATCGTTGTTCCAAACCATATCCGCCATAGTACATCCACATCTCCACCTAAACACCATCATCTCTGCCACCCTAAATGTGACAAATTCAAATAAAATAACAAATAAATTTAAAGATTATACATATGATTTCACGAGTTTTAAGAATCTTGCCTTGCCAAAATTAAAAGTTGTACCTTGACCAAACCAAACTCTTTTTTTTTTTGGAATGGTGTGTCTTCACCTTGTGTGTGGGATTTTATGGACTAGCGAGATGTAGTTAGATGCTGGCCTTTGATGCTTTACATGATCTTATCTTCAGTTCTTCCTTTTGATTTCTTTGAATTTATTTAGCTGTACTAATTGTCTAATCGTTGCCTTTATTTTTTGTGACAGGGCCGGGGGTCTTTCAGAAACAGCCTCTCTATCTTTCCTAGGTAGGAGTAAGGCCTGCATACACTCACCCAGACCCCATTCATGGGACTCTATTGAGTTGTTGCTAGTGTTGAACCTTCGATTCACTTCTTTCATTAATTTCTTGGGCGCATAAGCATTGACGATGAAGTAGAAACACATCTAGGTTCTCGCCAAGGCCCTCAATTTATGAGAATTTTTCTCTTCTTTTTTGGGAGGGGGGGTCTAGGCTTGTGAACTTTTGAAAGCATAACTAATTAATAAAATTAAGAATTTTAGATGCCATTAGAAGTACCATGCAGAAATGTCTAGTGTAACAAAATTAGAATGTCACTCCCTTTATCCCAAAATAGAACTCATGTTTCAAAACTTACTTGTTAAACAAAAATAAGAATCCTATTTTTTGTTCAATTCAATTTGATTGAGAAAGATGTTACATCTAGTTATACAGTCGAAAAACAAGTAATGTTATTATTGAGAGTTTATGGCTTCTACTTTTACAAAAAATAAAGGGTTGTATCGTAAGGAACCTAGATTTTTTAGAAAGGATTTTTTATCTTGAAACCACTAAAAAGTACTCACAAGATTGTGAATCCATAGTCCACTAAAAAGCACTCAGAAATGCAAACAAAAAATTACCCATGTCAGTGCAATCTGAGCAGATTCTTTAATAACATCACCTAGTTGCCCTGTAAGATGAAGTTCTCCTTTTCCCACCATGTGTGTCGCCTCAACAAATTGCACCTCTCCCCCAAATGCTGTCCAGACTAAACCAACAGCTATGCCAGGGGAAGCAACTCGTTCTGCTGTCTCTTGATCATTGTATCTAGGGGGCTTGCATAATAAATAACACATCCATAAGAAAAAGTACTAGCTAAGAAGTTTTGAATAAACAAAGTTTGGTCTCATTTTTGGCAAACACAGCATTTGTCTGAAACAGCTGGAGTGGATGAATGAGCTACATTATATGCTATTTATTGAATGGATTGAATCAACTTATCAACAACCTAGTATAATCCCAATTTTGTTGGGGTGTGGGGGGTAAAGATGTATGCACCCTTACTCCCGTGTAAAATACAGAGAGACTGTTCCCGTTAGACCCGTGCCATTTTGATGTAGTAGATTATTTACATGAAGGCCGAAGCTAAAACATTGTGCTCTTTTAGCTCCATTGGCAATGGACATTGGAAGGACTGCATCATCTGGAAAAAATACTTTTTGAAATATAAATAAAATTAGTTTTTAAAATATGAATGTAAAATGACATTTACTTCCATTTCAACAAAAAAAGTTGGATTCAGCCAATGCAGACAATTAAGTTAGTCTTTGGTGGAAAATGTAGTTAATTATGTTGATAAAAAGAAAAATCAAGGGACCAAACAGCCACGTAATTTTGGCATGTACTAAAGCAAAACTTAAAACATAGATGAAGAGAAAAAATGCACTTACTCCGAGCACCTTCTCCAGCATAGGCACATCAACCATTAGAGGTGAAGCAATGCAAAATGCATTTGAGATGTCATGATTATTGACACCCATTGGAATGACTTCCATTTCTACTTCAGCACTCTCAGCAAGTTTGGTATCGAGAAGTGGTGAAGTAAGCCTTTGCATATTGTTGTTGCTAAGAGTCAAAGTATGTTGTTCTGCCACTCTGACAGCTGCTGCACGGGCTAAAGCTGCTAAGTTCCTCTCCAGATCACGTACACCAGCTTCCCTAGTGTACCATTGGATAACAAGCTTCACCATACCCTAATATAAAACAGGGGACATTGAATGAAAATTGTAAAACTAATGCTGGTATATAGAGCATAAAACCAGCAGACTGTCATGTTCTATCATGTGCATGTTGACTTTTACCATCGAACTCTGTCTCGTGATATTATCCATGAAGGTGGGAAAATGTTATTATGATGATGGTTTTCAAATTTTATTTCATTAATCCTTGTTTCCCCACTTGTGGGATTACATTGGGTTTCTTGTTGTTATTCCTCCTTTAGATGGTTGTGACACAAAAAGCATCCAGCTTAAAATTTGCCACTATGCTTTTTGCATGAATCTAGAACGTCAATTAGTACTTCCTCCATCCAAAAAAAGTTACATGTTTAAATAAGGCACAACATGCTTTTTATAAGTTATGCAGGCACTTATATCCCGGAAACTTGCTTTCAAGTATCAAGATTGTTCGGATTTTAGAGTAAACCAAACCAAACCAAACACACCCAATGAGTCCCACTCCAAAGATTTTCTTAGAGAGAAAAAATGGGTATGTTCTCATTATATGCAATAGTGTGAAAAAATTGGATATGTTTTACTTTGATTCCTGAATACTGAAACCAAACTCTCTCTTTTTTTCTAGTTTGAATAGACAGTAAATTTACATAATAACTTGCATGCCACCTTCCCCAATGCATACAGAATTATAGTGATGATCATGAGCATAAAACAAGCAAGCAAGCATTTACATTTTTAACTATTTCTGAACATAAATAGCTCAATTCCAAATGTCACGAAAACAATACCTCAGGAATTTGAAGGGAATCAGAATTTAAGCCATGCTGATCAAGAACTCTTGGGATTAAATGGCGCATAGCTATTCTAAGTTTTTCTTCTGGTGTATATCCAGGCAATTCAATGACTTCCATTCTGTCCAAGAGTGGAGGAGGAATAGGCTGCTTCCTATTTGCAGTTGCCACGAATATTACTTTTGAGAGGTCAAATGGCACGTTCAGATAACTAAACTTTAAATCAAGGAATCAAGATAAAAGTGCAAGAAACATGAGTTCATTATAGGATGTAAATGGTATCATACATTGACATAGATAAGTCTTAAAATCCTAAAGGGACAAGGATAATTTTCAACTTTGTTGTTTTGAAGTTGAGGGCAGAATACTAGGAGATCAGGATCATTGCATGCATATTGTGTAATCCTCTTCAATAGCAAAGAAGACAGTTAGGACTTAGGGATCCTTCTACCCAACATGAAAATGATACTCCGTATATTATTTGATATCATATCTGACTTGGAAACAAATGAAGTTGTATGGTTACCATTAACTCAACTGTAGGTAAGGGTTGTATCACTTTATTTCACCAAGTTAACAATTGAACTTATAGAGAGACACCAGTTAACTGAAGGATACTGATCATTGAAAGTATTGTTCTGTTCAGGATCAAGGACCTCCAGAAGTGCTGATGCAGGATCCCCCCGCACGTCAGAACCAGTCTTGTCAATTTCATCCAGCAGCATGACAGGATTACAAACACCTACTCTCTGAAAGTCAGTAAAAAAAGATTTGCAGGACATCTGAATATTGTTAGCTTAGATTAGATGCATAGCCGTGCGATGGTGTAAGCATACTATGCATTCCCACCAAATATTCAAGTACAACAAAAAACCCAGTTTAATCCCAAATGTGTTGGGGTGGAAACATCTACACATACACCTGTAAAAAAACAGAGACTGTTTCCTTTAGACCTTGATGCATTGTTGCATTTTTAAGAAGCAATGGAAGTTTAATGTGCCATTTTGATTTAGTCCATTACTTTTTTTAAATGTCCATAAACAATACAAGTACAACCATCCAAATATCTGTTTAAATTGAGAAGCAACTATGGATTCAACGGCTACAAGAGCACAAGGTAAATACCACACCTTTAGTCCATCAATTAGACGTCCTGGCATGCTACCAATATAAGTCCTCCTATGCCCTCTTATATCAGCCTCATCTTTGACACCTCCAAGAGATATGCGTACAAATTTTCTGCCCAAAGCAGCAGCAATAGATGTAGCTAAAGATGTCTTTCCAACACCGGGTGGGCCAACAAAGCACAATATTGGACCTCTTGCATCTGCTTTGAGCTGTAGTAATGTTTAGAAGGCGGTTAAAACCTTCACCAGTGAAAGGATCGAGTGTGTGATGGAAGTGGAATGTGGCTCAACCTTGCGAACAGCTAGGTACTCTATGATCCGCTGCTTAACCTTGAACAAACCATAGTGGTCATTGTCTAGACGCGCTTTTGCAGCCTTTAAGTCTAGTTCATGAACTTCACTAGCCTTCTGCCAGGGAAGATCTGCAAGAAGCTCCAAGTACACACGGGAGCTATTATAACCTGGTTGCTGAGGCTGCATTTTTTTTAGTGTCCTGATATATCAACCCAATTAAGATTAAATAGGAGTAAATAGATCAAACTACCCATAATGAGAGAGCCTCTCCAGTCTCCACGTAGTCATGAGTTTAGGATTATGGCAAGTTGAGAACCGCTATTCGAGGCTCAAGTGCTATAAATATGGAGGAAAAAAGGGGAGGGATTTTATTGCAACTTCTAAAAATGGTTTAACAATACCTTAGTTCCCTGTGAGCATGTTTCCATATATTTGCAGGCATTCCTGCATCTTGCATCTTCCTCTCAAGGGCAGTCAAATCATCTTCATCATCATCATTATCACCTAGTTCCTCTTTAATAGCCCTCATCTGGATAGATGAATGATAGGAACATCAGACGTGTGAACTATCTTCTTCAAATGTGGGTAATTTTGCAATGAAGAGGTCCTAACTAAACAATTGGGTAAGGAATGATGAGTATTAAAGGAAGAAGCAAGGCAGAGAGAGGAAATCCAGTAAGATCTAGAATCTTTTTTTCTTGAAATAAAACAACATTACCCCATTGCCTCAAAGGCTCCCACCCAATGCGGTTTAAGCGGGGTCGGATGTACGCAGCCTGACCCCCTATGTTTAAAACATAGAGCGGCTGTTTCGAGATGACCCATGATGAGCGTTGAAAGCCGCATTGATTAACTGCTACTTCACTATTAAAAGAAGCGCATACAATTTAAAGAGCCATTTTGCTTTATTTTATCATTTTTTAAGTATTTACAAATAAAACGACTAAGCTACACATGAAGTTAAAATGGTATAATATCAGCAAGCCAACCTGCTGTCTAAGCAAAAACTCTTTTTGAGACTTCGACAACTGCCCCTCAACTTTTTGAGTGATCTTCTCAGCAACGCGAATTGACTATTAAATCAAAGAGAGTGTGATGACAGAACTTCATGAACAACAGAAGCAGTGTGTAGAGCAATCAAAGACCTTTAAGGGTTTGTTATGTGCATACTTGTAAATGCCTATCAACTAGCTCTGTGGCCTTGGATAGCCTTGTTTTGACATCGATAGAGTCCAGCATAGATAACTGCTCTTCAAAACTAATCTCAAAGCTAGCAACAAATATATCTGCCAGCTTGTGTACTGGAACTGTTTCCAGAAGAACTTTTGTCCTCCCACCAGTTTTTTGTTTCTATAGACAAGGCAATAGGATAGTATCATAAACTATCACAGAAAGAAAAAGATCAAAAGTACTCCAATCTTTTTAGAACATGTTACTCCTCTAGATGACTCAGTATACTAATGCTGCAAATGTTTGTAAATCGAATAAGCAGATCCCCCTAGCTAAACTGGATAGAGTTCAAGTATGCCAATTAAAAGCCCGATTTGTTTGTCCTGTTACAAATTTTGACTTGCTTACATAACCATGTTCATTCTTAATACCTTTTAAACCTATAATGGAGATCATTCACCTGTTCAAGGACAAAAATGAAACTTGACAAAAATGATAAGCCAGAACATTCACCTGTTCAAGGACAGAAATAAGCTCTATTGCAGTGGCTTTAAACTGGCGAGACAATGAAATGAATTCCTGGTCTTGTTCGACTTGTTCCATCTCTAGTCAAGGTTACAAGATTGTTAAATTGGCATCTTAAAAAAAGTGGATTATAGCATATTCTCATTATAATATATACGAATAGAGCCAAAGACCACATAGTCCATTGGCATGATGGTGATAGAAGTGATGAACACCAACATGGCAACCCAAATGTTTGAGAAAAGAAACACAAATTACAATCCCGCAATCCATAATCATAAGACTAGAACCATGCCTGCCATGTACTTGTTGCTGGTAACATGACCAAAAAGATGCCAGATTATATTCTCGTAATGGTTCAGACTTCAGATGCTTGTAATATCATAACATCTTCTCTTAAATCCTAATTGTTTCTATGAGGTTGGGATTTTATGCCAAGAGACTCACTCAGCCTACAACGATTTTTAAATATACTCCGTAATAATTATCATTCTCCGAAACACTGAATACTTAATCTTCCACATCTCACCATCTCAGTCCTAGTTGTGTAAGAATTATCATAATCCAAGCATCTAGCTCATAGTCGTGTAAGAATTGGCATAACCCAAGCATCGACATCATTAAAAACAACTTAAACAAATCATTAGACAATTATGGGCACATGTCATTCAAACTTCAAGGTAATATGAACACAATAAAGAATGGACTTCCACTTGGGGGTTTCCTACATCTCTCCAAACAACCTATTTGTTGTTGTAGTAAATTACAGCTTACAAAAGAACTTATAATCGCCTACAATTCCAGAGATGAATGTAATGAAAGTTTACCAGCCTTGGTCATATCAAGAGAAGTAATCCTTGCTGTATAATATGTTCCTCGTGTGCTCAGCTCCTGCACACTGAATCTGCACAGTCCTTCGAGCACGACTATGTAAGTGACTCTCCCGCTCGGTTTCTCTACCCCTCTTGATAGATGAAGAGCCCGAGCAGCAACCCCCCTTCATGACAAACAGACATGTGTTATAGAAAATTAGAAATAACTCAATGCTCAACATTCCAAAATCTACATAGTATAATCCTGACACACTTTATTATCCAGAAACTACATAAACTACAGCATGGTATAATTACCTATTATGCCAGTGAATAACTTCATGCTGACTTTTTCCATCTTGTTTGTTAGCATCTGACATGAGACCGTGACTTTTCAGTGTACGCTCCACTGGATCAGTAGCCACGCCTAAACCACTTGCATATAAGCCATTTAAATAAGACATCAAAGTGATAAAACAACGACAAAACCCCCTTAATCGCGAGTAACTTGGGGTCAGCTAACTGAAAAAAGAGTAATCAGATAAAACTTATCTGCAATAACCTGGAGTTAAGCTAGGTCCAAAAGTAGTAGTCTCTGCAGAATCCTGCACAGGGAGAACCCCAATCAATCCCCTGTCTTCTCTCTGCCATAACTCTTGTTCCACCAGTTTCACACTGCTCCAACCAATAACACACTTCCCTCAATCCCAGAGCGTAGAAAACCAAATAAGCAGGAAAAGAAATACACCAGATGACTTTCAGCTAGTTCACGTTTTACCAGCTCCAATGATCCAAATCGCTAAAATGTAAAAGCAGGCGCTAAACTGATACAAATCTAACTCAGCAAAAGCCATGGCCCATTATGATGGCCATGAAAACAAGCAGCAAAACAGAAGCTCATACGGCGATACAGAGAACAAAGATGGAATTTACAATTCTGACTAAAAAAAAGCATCAAAGTATTGAAAACAGAGAGAACAAAGCAAGGACCTGCGAGGAGAAGTGCATCGAATTCGAATAATAGCGCCAGGCAACAGAACTTTGTTCCTGAAAGGAAGGATTGCAAGACGAGACGGGAGCTCGACGGAATCCGCCATTTTTTTCCTGCGTAGTATGAGTCGTCTCCGTCACGATAAAGTAGATGAATTTGTTGAATTTCTACCTGCTGGAAGTATATAGTACTGCGTAACTGTATTCGTTTGAAGTCGCACCACAGTGATTTCTTCTATTAATTACCCTTTACCAGCGGCTAAAAGAAAGGGAAACGGCGAAGTCTATGAAGCGAAGCCCACCCAAAGAAATTTGCACAAGTATCAAAGTCTATGTGAGTTTTGGTATTTCATTTGTGTCATAAAAATGATTTTTTTATTTTTTTCTTTGTATTAAAAAAAATTGACTTTTCTTAATCTCTGTTACCTGTAAATTTAAATTTTATCTCTCTTCTATATCATTTTCAAGTAAAAAATTTAACTTTTTTTAATATATTTAATTTAGATTTTAAATGATTTTAATAGATTATTTAGAATCCATAGATTCTGTAAGCTTATTGGATTGTTTTAAGTTTACGCAAAGTTAATTAGATTCTAATGTATTCTATCAAAGGATTTTATAGGATAATATTTTTCTTTTCTTTTTTCTTTTTTTTCTTCTTTTCTTATTTCTTTTTCTTTTTCGTTTCTTTTTTCTCCTCCTTCCCCCATGAACCCTAGCCGCGCCGCTTTTTCCATCCCATTTCGTTCTTTCTATTTTTTCTTTCCTTTTTTCTTTTTCTTTTCTTTTCTTTTTTCTCCTCCGTCTTCCTCCCGGCTTTCTTACGGCGAACAAGAGGAGCGCGGAACAGCAGCCCGCGTGTGTTATCGCCTGAGTACGGTGGGCAGCAGCACCAAGTTATGGCGGCGTCATCTTCAACATGGGTGGTCACGATGGCGCCGGCGACGACGACCTCCTTGGCGATAGGACTGCAACGGCCAATAGCACCCCGGCAGTAGAGCAGCGTGCAGAGCCGAGGAAGGCCTTCCGTCGGGGTTCCGAGCTCCGTCGACTTGGCAGAAGAACAAGGCAGGGACGAACGCAAGAGAAGATGAAGAACGAGAATAGGAGTATGCAAAATCTCAGGGCTTTTAATTGGATTTGGAAATTGGATTTGTATTTATACACAAGGCATGAAAATCCATCAAAATCCACAATTTTTAAAATCTTTAAAAATCCATCAAATTTTGAATACCATCATATTTAGAAAGATTTTTTAAAGTTTGAATTGAATACACCTAGATTTTAAATGACTTTTTAAATTTTGAATTGAATACCTACGGATTTTCATAATCCAAAAAAATCTATCAGAATCCAGATTGAATACACTCCCCTAAATTTAAAGTTTTTTTACAAAACAGGAGGAATATTTATTTATACAAAAAAAAGATTCTGACATTTTTAGTGTGTATGTTGAACTAAGTCATTAGATTAAGTTACTTCAACAAGGACATGGACCCACTCAATGCAATGAGGCTCAAAATTAGATGCTCGAGCCATAAATGAGTCACCCGACTCGCTAATCTCCAAACAGACAATGTGATAGATGCAAAGTCTCATATCTTTGTCTTACAATCAGAAATTACATTTACGTTATGTTTGACTCAAGAAATTTGAGAAGGAAGAGAAAAATGAGAAAATAAACATTTTTCTTGTTTGATTAGAGAGGAAAAGAAAAAAAAATGGAAAGAAAAGAAAAGTTGAAAGAAAAGAAAATAAGAAGACAAAATATAGTAAGAGAATCGAAAATCAAATTTCTTACATTTTGGTGAGGAAAGTGAGAAAAAACTATTTTCTTTTCTTTTCTTCCAAATTCCTTACCAAACATAGTGTAAAGAAATAAGAATGACTCTATGTCTAGCTCTCTTAATTTGCCTTAAACACCAATTCACTATTAGTCTCGACAATGTTCACGCTTTGCCCGATCGACGTCCTCAGTCACTTCAAAGCCTCCGAGAAACCTGTTAATTCAACATTTCCCTAATTGTGCTTCACATAGAAAGCGCATATGCGCATCTTAGATTAGTGTGCCAACCTGTGTAACCTTCGCGCGTCGTAACCACGTTGCATTTGAGAATTCCACCTTGTGGCACTTTTCACATGTCCATCTTGCAACCTAAGTCGGTCTCATTCCTTTGGGGCATGCACTTGTGCTACGTATTGTCTGCCACTATTTGCCAACAGAAGTCGATACCCGTGTTTTAATGAATAGGCTCTCTTGAGGTCGTTGCTCCACGTCTAACTATCCTCTCATGCGTGCATGCTTAATGGAAACGTGAAATCTCGTGGATTTCCTTCGCACAAATCATCGTGTGAAGGGGCTCAACATCCCACCTCCGAACATCCAGATCAATGAAAAAAGCTACTAAAACCTCCTTCCTTTCCTTTGGGAGACTTGATCATGATCAGACATATATATCTTCCTTAAAAGCCACGACATATTCACTACCTTGTAGTTTTACTATTCTCAATCCATCATATGCATCATTTCTCTAAAATCCGCTTCCTTTCAACTATAGTTTAAAAAGATATTCCGTATAATTTTACATGTTATTCAAAATAATAACTAGCCTCACACCAAATAACTTATCCTATAGTCACATTGACTACTTCGTATCTTCTATGACGGGGGTATGTTAGAGTCCAAACTAGAATGTCTTACCGCCCACCCTCCTGGCGTCTTCTCGCCAGCTGCAATGCATTATTCGCTCACAGGTTGGTCGAGTTTCAATTCTTTTATAAAATTATGGTTTAATCTTGCTCACTAGTGGCAAAGACACACTAAGATTTCTTTCTACTATTTTTTGTTTCTCTTCTAGGACTTAGAATGTGGGAATTTGGATGGTCTGATCTTATTAATTATCTACATGTGTCTTGACTATTGAAAAATCTTGGTATGCAGGATTATGCATGGGTCACCATTGCCATTGTCTTATCTACAAAATACCAGTGCAATTTTTTTGATTGAACTAATATTTTGTATCAATGTGAATCGTCAAAATACTGGTGCATCCTTTGGAATAAAATTTGGAGTATATTCTTGATGTAGCCCTCGCATATTTGATATCTAGGTTGATATTTCTATTACGGAGTATCGGAATTAAAAAAATTGATTGAACTTTATTTTTGGATGTTCAAAAAATTCAGAAGTTGAAAAATTATTACGGGCAAAGTTGGAATGGTCAGAAGTAGAAGGAGGAGTGGTATCAATTACTCCCTTCGGCCATTAATTTTTTTCTCACTTTCCTTTTTGGATTTTCCAAATATTTCTTCTTTGTTTTTAATTTGGCAAATTTTTTTTAATGAATGTGTCATTATATCCTTATTTAGCTTTTTCGCTAGACTATTCATTTTATTCCATTACATTAAAGACAACGCATGTTTACACTTTATAACCTTTCTCAGTTTTCGTAGCAAGTTGAAAGAAAGGAAGAAAGAATGGACGAGCATGGCATGATGTGGATCCCGTCGGACGCGTTTGGTGGCAAACTTTATTTTTACTTACTTTAGACGGATCTCAGTTAGACCGACCTTATAAAAGCACCAAGCAACCATAACCCCTTTCTATTCAATTCCGTTGAATTCCGGCCTTTACATGTACTCCCCACCCTCTAATTTTGATTATTTTATTTTATTTCCCACCTTTCTAATTAAGTTGTTTATTTATTGTTTACAAGATTAAATTTTAATTACGTTTTTTAATTTCATTTATACTAGCCATTTGAGAAAAATAATATGCGGAATAGTCTTCTCATCTTTCATTTTGTAAAACTTTTAATGTACGGAGTAGTTTTTAAATATATATATTTTATTTTTAAATTTCATACCAATTTTTAAATAAAATGACTTGAAAATAAATTTAGTCAATTATCGTAAACAACATCACGAGTGATTTAAATTGGAAGTGATGGAGTATTAAACCATTAATGACGAAAAATGTATTTTTAAAAAAATGTATTTAACAACGATGTTTAAATCTTATATCATTTTCAAAATTTATATTTATATATATATATATATATATATATATATATATATATATATATATATATTGCGGAGTAGGATGGATAAGGAAACATATATTGTTAGGATCCTATATATATATATATATATATATATATATCGCCATCTCCCCCACGGCAGCACCAACACCATATGGTTGTGCTTACCTTTCACTCTCAACTTTTTATTTTCTTCAAATTTAAAAATAAATATATACTCCATAAAAGATAGAACCTCAGCTCTCCAGCTAGGTGCAGCTAGGACAATAGCTTAAGAAGAAAAAAATGAAACTATAATGATCTCTCTGTCTTTAAATCATTTGCACTTTTGTGTAAAAATGAAGTTAAATTTTAGTATTTTTAATTCATTTTATTTAAAAATTGATATATAAATAAAAAAATAAAATTTACATATTTAAAAAGTATATAAAAAATTCTACTCTTTGCTTTTTCTAAAACTATTCCTGTTATGACTTGATAGAGATTTATTTTCATAGTTTTATCTTCTAATTATATCCTTATCATCGAAAGAATTAAAGGTAAAGAGAAATTATTTAAATGACTTCTTATACCAATGTAAATTGGATGATGTATATTGCGACGACTTAATTTAAATATTTTAGTCATTTTTTACAAAAATAGATATGTTTTGGAGAAAACGAAAAAATGAAAAAGAAAATGTTTTAAGAAGCAAAGAGAGTACAAAACAAGATATTAATAAATTATAGAAATTATATATTAATTTTGTCTTCTTTAATCCATTTTATCTTGTAATTTGTATATTAAAAAATTATAGAAATTATATATTAATAATCTATATGTTAAAACAAATCAAACAAGATCACGCATGACTATATTTAGGCTTACACATTGAAAGAATTTGATGAGTCAAAGTGCTTAGATGAACAGTTCTAAAAGTCAAAAGTGGACAAATATAGCGGGACGGAGGTGGTATTAGATTAGGCTTCATGGCATCAATGGAGAATGTGTCTATTTCAATGGTGACTTTTATCAAATTGTCATACTCTTTAAATTTGAGAAATTAAGAGAAATGAACAATTAAAACTAGACGAATGACGTAGTACGAGTCCGTCATTCCATAATAATTGTCTACTAAAGTTTATTAGATA